ACGTGGAACGACATTCCTGGTGTCCTGAAATCACGCTCTAAACTACACGTAGGAGCCTTTAACGTACGAACACTTTGCCAAATAGGACAACAGGTTTCCTTAGCTAGGACTTTAGAATCGCGCGCCATCGATGTGTGCTGCGTCACCAAAACGCGCATACAGGATCCGAGTAGCGTCATTCATCTGACCTCACCATCCAGACTATTGTTCGGACTTGTTAAGGAAACCAACTGTTAGCGAAACAATCTCAGAGAAAGATGGACATATTATATATTCTTGATCCAGGAGATTGGATCAATGGGCAGAACAGTTTAGGGATCGGTTCAACTGGCCCTCAGCCACACGTCAGTTTTCCACGATCTCTAGTCAACCTGAACGGTATGTTAATGTAGGTCCTCCATCCCTTTACAAAGTTGAAAAAGTCATAGGAAATCTGAAACGAGGGAGAGCAGCAGGCCCTGACAGGTTTACTCCTGAGATTTTAAGGATGGTGGTCCAGTATTAGCAATCAGATTAACCAAGGTCTTAGGAAAAAATTTGGGAACTGGACGTAATCCCATCTGACTGGTCTCAATCACTGATTGTGCCAGTCTATAAGAAAGGACAAAAGTCCTCTTGTGACAATCACAGAGGAATCAGTTTGACTAATATAGTGTCTAAAATATTAGCTTCAATAATACTTCGACGCCAAATCAAAGCTCGTGAAGAGCAGATTAGAGAAAACCAGGCTGGTTTTCGACCTGGACGTGGTTGTATAGATCAGATATTCACACTACGTCAGGTTCTAGAACAGAGACACACATTCAGACGCCCCACAATGGTAGTATTTCTCGACCTTAAGGCGGGTACTAGGTAAGGATGGCAAATGAATTGATGAAGTAGTGAAACTTCATCAGTAGAGATGGCTGGGACACGTGTTACGTATGCCCAACCACCGACTACCTCGACCTGCGATGTTCAGTGGTATAGGAGTAGGTTGGAAGAAAGCTAGGGGCGGCCAGATCAAAACAAGGCACAAATTTATGAAGTCACCGACAAGTGGACTGAGTCATGTTGGTAGGTGCAGACTACCTGGTTGGGGACCGAGAGATGATAGCAACCGATGGTTAGAGACCTTGAATGACATGGCTCAAAATCGTTTGCAATGGCGCAGGTGCATACACTCTGTGTTCTCCCAAATTCTAATCTTCTGAATTCTTCATGTCCCTTTTTTCCTCTTTCCAAATTTATTTCACTGGATTATACTCTTTAAATAACATCTCCAAACCCTAATCTTCCCGATTACTGCTTATACTCTTGCTACCTCTACCACTACGGGATTCGAATCGACAACTGCAGCTCTGTGCTAATGTGGCGTGGCAACTCGAACTGATGTACGTACGTACGAAGTTCTACATTGTTACTGACTGACTGCCCTCTAGTATCCTGAGGCCATTTGCAGAGGCAGAAATAAATGAATACTTTTGAAGCAATGACAAAGCAGTGTGGGGATAATCAGAATAGATATATTTCGCAATTAGTTTTTGCCACAAACTGTATTTCTTTCATTAATTCTCATAATTGGTCAAGGTACTAATATGTCTGTGAAAAATTGTATAAAAAACATGACACTGACTCTCCCGTTCCGTTTTTTAATCCCGCATAACATACACGCTGGTTATCGGCCACAAATACACTGCTGCACACAAATGTTCCTTCTTCCCAATTACCCATTGTTATGATGACAGAACTCTAATATATTTGCAATCTACAATTAAATATCACAGTGATATTTTCATTATAAATGAAATTATCAACTACTTGTAACTGCGGATTACCAGTCCAAAAGAAATTCGAACACGCCATTACCCGATAACTTAAATAACGTCCTGTACATTTATTCTGTGTGTATAATTCATATTTGATATATTAACGCATTGATTTTTGACGCAATAACTGTATCATTATTGTTGTAATTGATACATTTTTGGTCCACCACACACGATACTGAAGTATATCAAAAATGACAAGTCTCTAAGCGAAACGTTCCTCAAAAATGACTATCTAAATGATAAAATAAAGCATTTCCAATCAGTTCTCAATTAACAATAAATTACATGACAAAAAGTAATTTACAAGCAGAAACATGTTAAGAAAACAAATTCAAAAGGATCCCTATATGAATTATACAGTTACATAGACAATTTACAGGATCAATGAAACAAATTTTGATGGACCCAACCAAAAATCATATTGAAGAGATATATATATTGTCTAGATATACAAAAATCATTTTCCGTAGTGTCTAATGCTAATTTTTTTTCAAAAAAGACTCGTAGATCAACTGATTTATCTTAGAGCAAGATCCCTGTTTTAATTAAGGAGTGATTTCCAAACAGAAAATTAAACCAATCAAATGTTTGTAGATTAGTTAAAGGTAATTCGCACCGTCAGGCAGAGTCAATATGATGTATTAGTCGCTTCATTCTAGATCGCAAGCAGAATTGACCAATATTATTGCTGAAAACACACCACCCATGATAACCATTTAAAAGTTATGGTATGAATGTAGTGTTTTAGCCAAAGCTGTGTTCTACACGCCGCCGGAACTCATTGTCTTTATAATTACTGTATTACAAGCAAATCGAACCGTTGAGCTCCCGCACAGAGGGTTATACCAAAACTTACTATGTAACAATGAAGGGGACAGTCGGGATCAGAATTCTAATCACGTGAAAAGTAATTCAGCGTTCGGAAGTATAGATAGCTTCTGGCAGACAGTTCATTAATGGAATGCAGGGTTGGAATATTTGTACGTAAGATTTAGATAAGAAAACATAAATGCATTGTGCGCTAATATATTATTGTCACACTAATTTCTAGACTGACAAATAATAGGCTCGAAGTAATTCACGATACCTAAGGATAAAGCCGTTTCTTATAACCCCAGGATAAACAGTTTGTTCTGAAAATACTTGGAATCTAATAGACAATAGGAAAACTTAGAAACAGTTAACACAGAAAGCACTGATTTCATTGCCATCTCAGAAACATGGCTAACAGTAAGCATCAGAGATGTAGTATTAGGTATCATACTGTGCTGAAAATGTACACGTGTGGATCGGTGCTCCGCCAAAAGGTATAGTAGGTGATTTCGTGCCAACGTGTAACATTCTCCGAAACAAATAGATATGGACTGGTTTTCCAAAAGTTTAAAATTAGCGAAAAAACGCGGTTCAAGGTGCGAATATGGAGAAGGGTCTGAAATAGGACGAGACGCGTGTCCTGGATTTCACTGCTAGCCACTATTTATCGAAGTATTTCTAGTTGCATTTCCAAGAGGATATTCAAAATTTGGGACGTTAATACTGCTTAGACACATTTGAACTTGTCCTACTGAATAGGTTAGAATGATTTACAAGCAACTGTAATATAAATGCCCTTCCAATTAAAAACGAAATTTCAGGTTGATTTAACTGTTACTGGTGTGAATCATCTGATGGTGATTAATTGATCTCTGTTTAATAACATATTTAAGGTGTAAAGGTATATTATGTTATCAAGACAAACTCTCTAACCGCTGGCTGAATAGCTAAGCATATTCATTAGTTACACATGAATCACGTAAAACAACTAGATTTAAGCAACAACAGAGATATTTCTCATAATATCTTGACAGATATGATAGAAGGCAACATATGAATGTATATTACAGTTAGAGTTTCGATCTCGATTTCTAAGGTAAAATATGTCGTACAATCCACTCATAGCAATCAACGAGTATTTAGGTTACATGCTTCGTTATTGTTTAAATCCTGATGATAGCTATTTTTCCCATTGAGATCGAGTGGATTATACAGGGTTGTATTTATGCGACTAACGATCAGTATCAGATAAGATTTGAACGTTCATAATTTCTAAGATTTCAACTGACCAAAAATTAACAGAGACGGTTGACAGCATTCAACAATCCATGATGAAGCAATATACCACTCAATTCAAATCCAGAATGCTTAACAAACGTTCACAAAAATAATTTTCGGCTGACATCCATGAATGCAGTGAACACATTGCACATGAGGAATGATAAAATAATTAAACATAAATGCAGAGTTACTTCATAAGACTCGTGCGTTTTAATGTTTAAAGAAATTTTAGTTTTTTGATTTCAAAACCACATCAAGTGTTCTGAAGAAGCATATTCTTCCATGATTAGACCACTATACTCTTGGAATTTTTTTGTTGCATTTATGTATAGATTTATTGAAAGGCCAAATATGTTACGAGAAAACAATATTGGAAGTACCTATGTGATTGTCATTCTTAGGCATACAATAATGCATTTTGTTAAATACATTAATAATGCCATCAATTGGTTGGTGTGGTGCATTTAACAGAGTAAAGTATTCTTACCGAATTGTCTCGAATAAGTTTAGAGAATCGGATGACAGAAGTGTTTCGCCCACTTTTACTTTCGAATCACATCATAACTTTATGAATGGTAGGGGGGATGTTTAAACATATGTATAATGAAACAATAACATAGGTACAATATGAAAGAGTGAAGAGGAACTGGAAGCAACTAGAATAGCAAAAATATGATAACGTGAATGTTTGCATAAAACAGTGTATCATTTTTCGATCCTTTAAATATGTATGGAACGCTGGCGAAACACATCCATTTCAAAAGCGTAACCATACCGAAATATTACCATAGTAATTTGACGAAATACGTTCGTCTTATCAGGCGAACATTCAAAAAATAGAAAAGGGAAACTGAAACAAGGTAGTTAGTCATCAGTGACAATGAATAAAAAAAGAACATCTGAGATATTTTCAAAGTGCAGAATGCTGTAAAATACAAACAAGTCCAGTATGGATTTGTTGTAAAGAGAAAAAGTAACAAATTAGAATGAAACAATCGTTGCAAATTATGAACGAAAATAAAACTGGTTTATTAGAAAGCCCACAGAATGCAAACACACATACACACACGAGCAACAGCATACAAGTGCGGAAAATTAAGCCAAATATTCATAAGCATCTCGTTCATTGTTATCTCGCTTAATATATTCTCTTTCAATGAGAGCGGTAATACATCGCTGAAACAGGAAATATAAATAATAACAAAAACGTTTGCGTTAAATATGTTTAAAATGATCAAAACTAGTGAACCTAAAAATGTGGAAGTTAAATAGTATTTCATTCGATCTTATTCAGGAGGTACTTTGAATAAACGTTTGTTTTATTATACTTTCCTGTAGCTGAAATTATTAAATTTACTTTGGCCCAGACTATAATTTATAGAAGAACCAATCACGTATAAGATAACAGGTCTCGAATTTTGGCATTATAGCTGATGTCAGTTCGTGATGAAAACCCTTAATATAATTTCTAACCCAAACCATCAACTATAAATCAAAATTGTAATTCCTCACACAGGTTTATAACCCTCCTGGTTATTAGGTGGACACTCACAAGGTCACTTTAGCGTCACCCAAAGGTCGTCCATAAATTATAGTCTCACCTTACTTTGATTTATTAATTTACAATATTGTTTCTCGAAACAAATAAATTAGGTCTAAAATCATTTCGGTTATAGTTAATTGCAACCATGGAAGACATAAAATGATAATGATTGGGAAATGTGGAGCATAAGTAGTAAACAAACGAGGTAGATTGGAACTTTAGTCGTATAACAGTAATACCTTTAACCTGACCTGATTTTGTACGATGAAAATTCAAACGAGTTGCTATTTTATGTTGTTACAACAGTGAATTCAGAGAATTAGTCCACTTCAGCATTTTAAATTATTTTAATAAAATATAAATATAAATTACACAATGTATTTTCAACGGATTTCATTTTATTATTTATTTTAACACATAAATATTTGTACAAGGAGGCATCAAATACATATGCGCCATCTCAGTAACCTCAACCGGAGAGTTGTGTTGGACCAACCAGTGCCAACACTGTACAGTTTTCTTCTACACCATAATGCCGTTTCATATACTGGTTACCTCTACGCTTTATCTATCTTGTTTTAGCACTCAACCTAGTTGAAAACTCTATACTATACTTATATATATATAGAAATATATTTAATCATGCGATTTCCTGAAGTACATTTAAACAACCATATTATCTGAGATTTCATAACAACTTTTAGTACTTCATGATAATTTTTGAAAAATAATTGTTACGTCACTAGACACTCATGAATTTTTTTGTTAGGCATGTCACCATATTTATATATAAGCTGCCTTAAAATCAAATATTCTAAGCGAGTTTCCACAATAACTAATGTATGCTAATAAGAAACAAATGTAACCAATACTCATCTTTGAAGCATTGTGCAACCACCGAGTGATGTAGAAAGTGGAGCAGTAAACAGGGGTTATATTTCAGTTGAGAAGTTTGTGAACCCCTATCAACTCCCCGATTTCTCCCTACCACCATGCACTAGTCTACGTAAAACAAGAATTTATGTCTTCAAATTAAAATTTCCGGTGATGTAGACTTTGTGCTTCGAGTTATTTAAAATGCTAACTCATGACATTTAGTGTTTTATTTCAAACTACATCTTTTGTTTATTTAAACACAAACATTGGTGCAAGGAGGCATCAAATACATATGCGCCACACAAATCATTCGATTTGTGTGAGGGCTGGGATACTGTCCGAGTGTCCAAACCGAAGCGGGTGGTTTTCTTAGGGGGCCACACCTGGAGCCTTCGACCTAGCGGTCTGATCCACAAGGAGATGCATTCTCATGGTAGTCGGTGATCAACAATTGGTTCATATGCCGTTTGTTCCTTTAGGACCCTGGAGCCCGTGTGCACCATTGGTTTGGAATCAGGGTTTTCCAACTCCGCTAGACGGATCGTCCGTATCCACTAATCCGGTTAAAGCGCCGGACATGAAAGTATCACATCTAAACTATTTAAATTAAATGGCTAAACTCCATCAAATGTGCCACATATAAACCGCATGTTGATAAGACTGTGTACATTCATCGAATGAGGTGGCTGAGACAAGTAGTTCACATATCTAGTGAATGTATACACTGGTAGGCTATACCAGGTCGATAGGAGTTCCCCAAGAAGGTTGCATGTGAAGGAAGCATGATATGTGCAACAACACATTAAATCACTGACTGTTGACTTAGATATAGTCAACATGTGCAAAATTTTATGATTGAGATTAGTGAAATAATTGTAGTTGTCGTAGTTGGAGAGTGGGTTTCAGTTTACTGATAGGTGATATATACAATATTTTTTATTTTGCCTTGCATCAGTGATTCTATTTACTCTTGTGATTTGTATTTCCAGCTTCATTATTCAGTAAAGTTTTTTATGTTATTTCTGTTCGTTTTCCATTTAATGTGATAATTTTCCCTCGATTTGTTGATGTAAAGTACGGGAGGTTGGAGCGATATACATTTGTAAACAAAAACTCATTTTGATATCTGATTGTCTTTAACCGACTAATATTAGCATTGAAACGTTTATATATGACTGAATTATCTATGAATACATAAATATACTTCAACTGCGTGGACCAATTCCACTGATAAAGAGAATTTATTTATTCATATAAGGAAATTTTATCTGAACGAAAATTAACAAGTAAAATTCCTATCCTTGAATTTAAGCTACAATTTAGATGTGAGAATTAGTAATAATATCCAATTGCACAAACCGAAAGTTTAAGTGAAGTTGGCAACCTATGATTAAGGTAGTTGGGATGATAGTTGAACTATCTAAGAAATCCAGAAACAATTTTTAGAAATATTATCAGCGTTTAGGATTTATGAAATTCTAAACTGTGAAGCAAGAAATTGATGATATTCTATTCATTTTCGTATATACGCCAGCCAATTCGACTATGGAGGGTACTGAATGATAAAAAGAGGAGATGTTTATACTATCTACTAATTATAACATTAAATAATGATCTTCTTTTTCATATATATTACTAAACAAAACTTACTTTAATTAATAATACAGTGGGTTTAAATCGAGGTGTTAATTGTGTAACAACTTCCGAGATCAATTGATGGTGTTTCATTACTTTTCTAGTCTTCATAATACGTACTATACAAGCCTATAGAAAAAAAAAGAGAACAAAAGTGAGGATTAAAATGGATTGACACATTAAACTCAAGACTTATTTCATTTCGAACGTATAACTTGGCTTAGTGGTGAAGAAGCTGGAGACAGATAAGTTGATCAGCAATCTATACTTAAAACACGGTCGGATTCTTAAACACCATCCAATCTAGACTGATCATATTTTGTGATACAGTAGATTAAATCGACATACATTTAAACGGATAATTGAGTTATTCAGAAAATTATATTTTTATTGGAATGGTTCGGTCGTGGAGCTTTCATTGTTCCTCTAATCAACATTATCATCGCTTATATTAATGAATTTGGACGATTATGGACACACATTTGACTGGAAAAAATTTTGATATCGCTTCCTTTCTTTAAAAAACTTCTTAGTTTCATCTCGCCATGCTAATGTAGATGTAGTAACATCGGCTAGCAAACTCATGTGTTAAAAGGTTCTTTGTTGATCATGACAAATGAAATAATTATATACAAGCTTTACCAGTTAGCCTGGTATGTTACATCGAATTAATGAGATGAAACTAACATTCTTGTGTCCCTGCCTACATCAAACTAAATGATATACAGATAGAATTTAGAACTTTATAATTGAAGATTATGTAAGTATATGTACACCATTAAGTCAAAAAGGTTCTTTTACATAAAGTGAATGAAGATATTAACACACATTTTCATCATACGAAGAAATTAAAATCATAAGTAGATAAAGCATTTTTAGGGATCAACTAACCTGAACAATTAATTTTCGATCAGATTCTACATTCCCTAAAGTCTGTTCAATTTCTTGTTTCGTTTCACTTTTCAAAGGAACATTTAAATAAACTCGAACGCGTTTACTAATGGAATTGAGATTGACAAGAACAACAGCAACAAGAGAGAAACAGTAAAGAAACGATAACAAGTAAAAGCAAATTATATTAAATATTATTGAGCATCAGTATTGTATTGGTCTGAACAATCAACAACAATGAAAACAAAATCTCTGAGATTTTTATGTATATAAACTGCCAGGTAAGTCCTATTCACTGCCCTGTAGCGTCACAGGTGTTCTTTACGAAATCGAGAAGACGAAAAGCAAATGCACGGCGCTCTAACCGGTTTGGTGGATACGGAGGATCCGTCTAGCGGAGTTGGAAAACCCTGATTCCAAACCAATGGTGCACACGGGCTCCAGGGTCCTAAAGGAACAAATGCCGTATGAACCAATTGTCGGTCACCGACTACCATCGGATTGCATCTCCTTACGTTGCTCGATTGCCTTGTGGATCAGACCGCTAGGTCGAAGGCTCCAGGTGTGGCCCCCTAAGAAAACCACCCGCTTCGGTTTGGACACTCGGACAGTATCCCAGCCCTCACACAAATCGAATGATTTGTGTGGCGCATATGTATTTGATGCCTCCTTGCACCAATGTTTGTGTTTAAATAAACAAAAGATGTAGTTTGAAATAAAACACTAAATGTCATGAGTTAGCATTTTAAATAACTCGAAGCACAAAGTCTACATCACCGGAAATTTTAATTTGAAGACATAAATTCTTGTTTTACGTAGACTAGTGCATGGTGGTAGGGAGAAATCGGGGAGTTGATAGGGGTTCACAAACTTCTCAACTGAAATATAACCCCTGTTTACTGCTCCACTTTCTACATCACTCGGTGGTTGCACAATGCTTCAAAGATGAGTATTGGTTACATTTGTTTCTTATTAGCATACATTAGTTATTGTGGAAACTCGCTTAGAATATTTGATTTTAAGGCAGCTTATATATAAATATGGTGACATGCCTAACAAAAAAATTCATGAGTGTCTAGTGACGTAACAATTATTTTTCAAAAATTATCATGAAGTACTAAAAGTTGTTATGAAATCTCAGATAATATGGTTGTTTAAATGTACTTCAGGAAATCGCATGATTAAATATATTTCTATATATATATAAGTATAGTATAGAGTTTTCAACTAGGTTGAGTGCTAAAACAAGATAGATAAAGCGTAGAGGTCCAACACAACTCTCCGGTTAGGGTTACTGAGATGGTGCAGTATTGTGAAATGTTATTAGACAAGGTTCAGAATAGGAGTTAATGGGGATGATGCTATAGTTTTTTTACATTCTTCATATAAATGAAAGAAACTATTTTAAGCGAAAGTCTTTCCTAGGTATATTTTCGACTGAACTGTATCTACACCTATCTACTACTATTGTTCACTTTTTCCCCAATAGAATCTCTGTACTTGTTTGATGCATCCTACTTTCTACGCCTGCTTGTGTCAGATCTACACAAATTTTATAAGAGAGCTTTTATCAATTCATGAAAAAATTAATGTATTATGCAGAAACCAATTATATTTGTGATTCTTAAACAACATTTCGTCCTCCAAAATAGAGCAGCAGAACTGTTCGCTGAGTAGGTCTTCATTAAAACTATGTTATTTACATAATCCCTTTTGTTGTTTACATAATAAAATGTGGACTAAATGCTGGATAAATATAAGCAGCTAGACTTCCACATGATTAATAGCAAGAACTGAAATGATCAATTACACAAAAGGTAAGGGTCTATTTGAATGGAAGATTCGAAATGTATACATTATTGTTCACTCTAATTGTCCTTGTTTACTAATAACAAAATAGACATGAGGATTACCAATATGCTGAGAATATTGCATAATACAGTTTCGCAGCTTTTAAAAGCCGAAAATCTGCATCACTTGTAATGATTTTTGAAATTTAAATATCATTTAATAGGTTGTTTCTGAATTTGAAGATCATTTATACAATAAATACACATATTACCTGTATAGTAACATTAACAGTCGTATGCATCAGTCATTCAGTCAGTAACAACGTAGAACTTCGTACGTACGTACATCAGTTCGAGTTGCCACACCACATTAGCACACAGATGCAGTGGTCGATTCAAATCCCGTAGTGGTAGAGGTAATAAGAGTATAAGCATTAGCATTAAACTGGTTCAGAGTCAGTCTAAATAGTGTGGATCCATTCACTCGTTTTCTTCTCATAGATCCTAGGTCTCAAAATTATTTTATACCATTTTAATCTTCATTAATTATTATTACACCTTGAACTACATTCTAAATCTCTAATATATACCTTACAACCACTGAAAATATTAATCCTTTTGTATTAGTCTTGCTGTACTGCCGATGTGGTGGTAGCCGATGCATGATGGGTTAGGTTCTATGATTTATATGACTAACTAAATAACGGTATTATACGAGGACATGAGGAAAAATGTGAAATCGAAAACATTTGTTTTGGTTTTTTTTTAAAAATGTAATTGCGTCAATTGAATGCAGACTATTCAAAACCGGACCTTTAAATATTAAAGATGTCTATAAATAATTTTTCAAGATTACTTTTATTGTCGTCAAGTACCGCGTTTATTTTGTAAAGTTACACAGTAACATATACTAAAACGTGGTACAAATAATCTGGGATCATGTTTTTTAGCCGACAAAATATAATAGAATTTAATGAATTAAACTGAACATATGATCCCTCACAGTGACCGATCATATATTTTTGCACTATACAAATGTATATTTTGTTAAACTAAACATAACATACAAATAATTACGAAATACAAGGACAAAGTTGCCTGACATATACAACAATAAGTAAAAAGAACGACTAGAAATTGTTTGTAATGAATAAATATAACACAATATTATGAATTGTTCACAGTGAAGTTGTGTAAGTATTTTGTATTTTAATGTTTATGATATAAAAATCTTAATGAAAATACACTTAGATATCTTATTACAACCTCGTGAGGTGGGACCGTGGATGCGCACTGCTGAGGAGCCCCACAATACGACGAAACGACTGTCCAGTGCTTCTAGGTTTTCCATGTTGATCTAGCTTCAATTGACTCATGGTCTGTCGAAAATTTATAAGCTAATTAATATTATTCACGTGGATAATAATGATACGATGAAAGACACCATCGTGTTATTCTATTTTTAAGGTGAAATATACGAAGTTATCAGAGGACAAGAAGAAGTGTAAAGTGAAGGTCCGTAGGATACTCTATGATTTATAAGTTCATTTATGATTGATTATCTGTTAAGCCACACTACTTTTGTTGAAATTGATATGTGTAAATAATAGCTTTGATTGACTATTAATAAACATATATTGTGTGAGTAGATTATCAGTTTAGTCATCTCAATTATTTCAGTAAATTAACTTCCCGGTCAATTACATAACACTTAGACTGACCCTTGAAAATCCATGTGCCTGTTGATAATCTTGACACAAAAATGATATAATTCAAGTAATATACACTTCAAATAATTGTGAATTGAAATAAAATAATACACACAAAAATCAACTAACTAACTTTTTATAATCTGTATATAGCGCCAAGTGTGTATCCGGTGATAAATTTGATTCGTTTGAATCATCACTGATTACAGTTGATTGATCTATTTCACATTTTGGATTGGATACAATTTTCAATACTTTAGCTTTAAGTAAAATCTGTAGAATTTGTAATAATGTAGCTTCTTCAATACCAGTTTGTAGTTGAATAGCTGACACCGTGTACACTAATGATGAATTATACAACATTAAAACAGACATCTGGTACGTTGAAACCTTTTGTTTAAAAAAAAGTGGTAAAATCATATACAACTAACTCAAAGGGACTGGTTTCACAACAATTTTTCGTAAAATATTTTAATAAATGAAATATATATAACATTTCCATATTCTGCAAACTTAAAAGCTAAGATGTCAAGCCAAAACTGTTCAGTACACTTTCTCGTTCAAGTAATCAGTCAAGGGGTGAGTGTGTAGCACACTGGACACAGCCCGTCACGACAATATGACCGAAAGTCGGTTAGATTGTAATAGGTGTACACTTGTTTTGTCTTTTTGAGTACGGTTATCGTACTATACATATAAAACATTCCAAATATCATTCTATTTCTTGGAACTTTACACCATCAATGATGAACTCTCAATATTATCGAATTCAGCAAATACTTATGATGTGAACAAATTATTTATCATTGAAGTCAAACATATTACGGAATGAGTAACCATTAAAAAATTCCTTTGAATCCATTTCACAAAAGATTCATAAACAAATCATTATCCAATAAATATATATATAAACATAAACATACTTGAAATATATATCTAGTTTTAGTATAGTTAGTCACAACTTCACCACGTGATAAATGATAACACCATGTCAATTTACGACCAGTATGATGTTCTTGATAAAAAGCAAGAAATGTATTGTGACATTGTTCCAACTAGGATTTGATTTTATAATGAAGAAAAAAAAAGAATTCAATTGAAGATAATAAAAAAGACGAAGCGGATATCATGAACTGAAGAAAGCAGGATATACAGGGTTTGGTGCTTTTTACACCATGAAACAAAACCAAACTTATAAATTGGAAGCATGTATTATATTTTTCAAGTAATTAGGCGATGGGTGCATACTAAGACTGAAATTTATCATTTCAAAAACGGAGAGACTATAATTTATAGACGAACCAATCAGATCTACGATAACAGGTCTGAAATTTTGGCGCGAAATTCATTCACCCATCTGGCTAAATAGAGTTTTGGCATTGTATTTGATATCAGTTCGTCATGAAAACTCTAAATCTAAGTCCTCACCCTAACCGTCAACTGTATATCATAATCCTTATTTCTTAAACTGCTTTATAAACCTCATTTAGCCCTGGTAAGTAGGTAGGCACTATCAAGGTCACTTCAGTGTCGCTCAAAGGTCGTCCATAAATTATAGTTTTATCTCAAAAACACATGAAAGTGAATTGAAAGAACTGAAACTGTAACTTCTACTACTACTACTTTATTTGAAAATAAGTAAACACTTTTTTCATCACACTATGATGGTTTATTTGAAATGTGTACATGATTGTTCAGTGGATGACTGTAAATCACTGTTCGATATACTACTGGGCAATATGAGTATGAGTAGATGAAAAATGATTGATTTCAAATATTTTCTGATCGAACATATTAAGAAAGTGTGTTTGGATACTTTGATAGTTCATGTCACATATTTTTATAGAGGCTTCTACTGTCCTCAGGGCACGTATACTAAAATCAATAACTTCATTCTCTATGGACAATATCTTCTTCGAAGAAAAGTTTCTTTATTACCTTCCACACTAAGGATCCAACAGTAGATTTTTGGAGACTAAGAAGCAGTTAAGAAGACCGTATGAAAAAATATATACTGAAACTTCAAAAAATGGGAATAATTAAACTGACATTTCTTAAATGACAAACAATTTAACTAAGAGTTTCTCATCCAACATGACGAATTCAATACATTGATATATTTTTTATAAAAAAAAAGAAGAATCATAGTATTTAAACAGTAGTCAATAACTTACTTCAGGAGGAATAGAAAAAGGTCCTTGAGCTTGAAATGGCCATGCGTTTGAACTAAGAATCATGATATTAAAATCAGCTACACAAATATAAATGAAAAATTTATCAATATTGAAACATTACTAAGCACCTCTATGTAGATTGATGATGATAAAATAAGAAAATATTAAAACTATTTATATGACACTCAAGAATTGTATTACAGTTAGATCTTATTGTGATTGGCGAGTGACTAGTATAGCAGTAGACTCAGTGGCAGCGAGTCAAAATTTTCAATACAAATGTCAGAACAGTTCTACTGTATAGGGTAGAAACATGGAGAACGACGAAAGCCATCATCCACAAGATACAAGTGTTTATTAATTGTTGCCTACGCAAAATAATTTAGATCCGTTGGTCAGACACTATCAGCAACAACCTGTTTTGGGGGAAGACAAACCAGATTCCAGAGGAGGAATAAATCAGGAAGAAGCACTGGAAGTGGATAGGATACACATATGCATTGAGGAAATCACCCAACTGCATCACAGGGCAAGCCCTCACATGGAATCCTCAAGGCCAAAGGAGGAGAAGAGGAAGACCAAAGAACACAATACGTCGAGAAATGGAGACAGACATGAGAAAAATGAACAAAAATTTTACAAAACTGGAAAGGAAGGCCCAGGACAGAATGAGTTAGAGAATGCTGGACGGTGGCCTATGATTCACTGGGAGTAATAGGCGTAAGTATGTAAGTGATTGGCAAACAACAGATCAGCAAATCCTTTATCTCTTATTTATTCAATGTGTGGACATTTTAATGCACTAAATGAAAATCTATTCAATCGGGTAGTTGAATTATGTTTTCAAATCAGTTTGTTTGGCTGTGATCGAGTCATTAGCCTATTGTCTTGTGTGAACAATCATCAGTTAAGCGTACAATATTATGAACCGTTGTCATCAATATCGTTGTTAAACTCTTCAAACACTTCTATAATAACAAAATATGAAAAATAGATCCAGATCAATGTGATGAAATCAGTTTGTATGATATGTAGAAAATCGAAAGGTGTACGACTATAGCATGATGATGCAATCAAAGGAAGCAAAGTTACACAAAGAAAGATACTATACATAATATTTGTAGTCAATGATGAAGTTCATGCTTAATGGTGTATACAAAACAAACTATCTTTTCAAATGTTATAGGAAAGTACTTCAAGGAATTCATAACAAAATAGGTAAGCATGTTACCAAAAAAATAGATGTTTATTTAAATGATAGCGTATCAAAAAAGAAATGTATGCGCTTGCGTTAAATCACAATTTTTCATATGAACTTGTTCAAGGAGGATACAAATCTATGACAAACTGGTTGAAGATTGAGTTAACATGGTTAATCATAATACATTTCAGTGATTAAAGTGATTCTTATTATTAAATTTTAAACAGAAACACCAGTTCGCGTCGGTTGTGCGAGTTATCCACCTCAAACAATGCAAAAAGGGTTGCGCAAGATTATGGATTAATTAAATTTAAACATTAACAGCGTCGGATGCCTGCTCAATGGTTTAAAGTTTACGCGCTTGCGTTCGAGACCGAAAGTCCTGGGTTCGAGTCCCGAGTGTGGAATCGTGGATACGCACTGACGAAGAGTCTCATACTAGAACGAAACCGTTGTCCAGTGCTTCCAGGCTTCCACTTGTGGTCTAACTTAGATCGACTCATAAACTCAACTGTGAAAATAAATTAATGGTATTAGAATTGTTGTCATGACTGAGTGAATGATTCAACTTTCAAACACTGTGTAGGTTGGAATTCTGTTCTGTTGCATATAATAAATATGATAACTGAATTGTAACGCTTAGTGTAAATTCAATTCCCTAGATATGATCAATAAAAAAAATCATATTAAAAACTTATTCTATGATACAATACATCGTATAATATACACTAGTTAGTTATTTTTATATAGGATATCGAATAAATACACATGGTCAACACATAGTCAAACAAAAAGAACGCACTAAATTTAAATAACAAACAAACAAATTTCTCTAGAGAAGTAAAGCTATTGTGTAATACGAGAAAATCATATGCTTTTTTTTCAAATTACATCAGACATCACTTGCCCATGTGATTAAATGGAATGTTACTAGGGTGGCTACCATTATTAAATAAAGTATATAATGAGATATGAATGACTTGCATAGTATATGTGCGAGTAGATGATATATAACATGACACTACTTATAAATATATATATATATATATATATATATATATATATATATATATATATATATATATATATGGACAGTATCATGTTTAAAAGACAGAAAAAGATGATCGAATCATATCATCTCTCCAGCGAAAGGTTTGATAACATCTAAATATTTAATGACACGATATATTTGACTTTTTAAAGTGAAAACAAAGTAATTGCACATCAATTAAGATACTTACAGAGATTATTTACACAAAAAGGATAAATATTAGAAAGATTTTTGTATATTTCTTCTGAATGAGTGCATAATTCATTCGAAGAGGACAATGTTCTAAACGAACTACAAAAACGACTACACTGTGTGGCTACTGGAGTAGAAACGAATTTACACTAGTAACCTTATATACTTTATTTTATAGTACCAAAATGTGTAATTTAAGATTCACGTTGCATACTATTGGGAAAATGTCAGTTGGATGTGTTTATATTTTATTAGTAATGTTACTTGTTGAGCTGAATTATTCTAAATAATGAGGTAGCGAAATCTAGTGCAGTTTAGGGATCCAGTTTTAAACCACCATGTGACTCCAGTCAGCTGAACAAACCAAAATATTTTGAGTGGGTTTTGAACCACAGATTAACAGTCGAATGTTTAAATTATGAAGTTACCAGCCTGTATACATCTAATAGGGGATATTGACACATTCAGCCATGTACATCAAAGACACACCGACCGTGACGTGGAATAGTGAATAATAAAATTGTTAATTGGAATAAAGGTAACAATGACAAGATCAAGGCATAGAACTAATCAATGAAATCACTGAATTCTCGTCTGAGTCATGTTGGAAAGCACAAACTGTTTCAGTCAGTCACTGAGTTGTGTCCATATATATCTATGTATATTTGCATTAGTTTAAGCCGTCGTTAGCACATTAACCTGTCGAAATCAAATTATCAATACAAATCCCAGAATAGTATAAGTAGTAACGGTATCAATAGTAATGAAAAAATTAAATAGATAAAATAGTACAAGATTTTACGACTCGAGTCCTACGGGAAAACAACGAGTGAATTCACCTACCCTACTGCGAACAGATTTGAGTCATTGCATTCAAAATCTCAGGTCATTATGATAATCAAGTGAAATTCAACCAGGTAATCCGCACCTACTAAAATGGCTCAGTCTAATTGTCAGTGACATGTTTTCTCCCTGAAGTATTAAATCAACTGCTATTCATGAACTCATGATTCAGTTGCATGTGATCCTATTGAGCTCATGTATACGTGTAGTGAACGAGAACTCATGTGGGGAAAATCAATTTATTGTTTAATGAAAAATTATATATATATATATATATATATATATATATATATATATATATATATATATATATATATATATATATTAAACACATCATTTGAACATCTTTGCGTTGTCCTTTACGTACTCGATTATTCCTCTACTTCTGTCGTTATTTTGATTCCTCTCCTATTTCCTTTTTATACTCTTCAATTCAATCTTCTGCTGCCAGGCGTTCCACTTCCGGTTGCGGCTACATACTACTTATATCTGACAGCATTAGTAGAATATACTACATACGTATCTTATGTATAGATCTCGATCACAGTTCAGATTAATTTACTTGCTGTATTTATCATCGTTTGATTTACTACCTTCCAGCGCAGATATAAAGGTATGGTGACTCGGTGTGACAAATATTTGTGCAAGATCCCATGTCAATGTTGGTTGACCGGCTGAAGGCTGGAATATTCAAGTCACTACAATATAATCAATAATCTGATGAACTACAGCTTTGGTACGACTATCAGTGAAACAAATTATCATGAGACCCCTAGGACAGATGAAGTCAAACATCACCTCTTAGTCACAGAAGTCGTTAATTATGTCTATGTTCCAAATATGACTAAGAAGAAATAACTGACTGAAACATTTATCAATCCAAACAGTTAGTCAACCATTCTAACCCCTTATTTACTAATGGCATGTTCAAATTATCATAACATCTAGCGTCCAGGGACTTATTTATTATGACAACAACATCGTATTGTAATACCAGTTTATCGTGAATTTGTAAAGTTACCTATTGATTTCTCTTTCTTTCTTTCTCCTTCTTTTAACCTTTCTTAATTAGTCAATTTTTAACTAGGAAACCAGTTGGATGATATCAGATGTTTACACAGCTTAACGTCTAACTGTCAGTATGTGATGTTTATACCGATTGTGTATAATAACAATAAAAACAAATTATATTATAATACGATTTTCATTGAAATTGTTTCTACTTCCCATGTTCACTAACATGCGAAGAAAAAGTTTTCTATTTCTGAGGCGGAATAATAATAAGAAACTATCATATACTTACCTAGAATGCAAATTTAATGATTTAAAATGAACTAAGATAAAAAATCAATGTGTTAACCTTTATACTATTATTTGAAAAAGAAAAAAGGATGGATGGATAGATAGAAAGTGAAGAAAAGGAAAGTAATATCCTGTATCAAGTACTGAAAAGTATCTTTCCTATGGAATAATAAAGAAAAGAAAAAAACAATTAACGTAAAACTTCATATCTGAATGAACCTCCCATTTTTTCAAGAAGAAGACTATAGATTACTGACTAAATGCTCGTGAGATTTATCACCTATAATAAATTGCCCCCAAATGCCCTGGTATGGCCGAGAGTGGGGTGGGCCCGCCCTCCCTCTCGAAATGCTCTCACATGGCCACGCGTATATAGCCTCTACCAGGGAAGTCTTACTCACTGCCTTCTCGTGGCGGGGGTGTTGTTTACGAAAATGAGAGGACGAAAAGCGAATGTCCGGTGCTTTACCCGGATTCCAAACCGATGATGCACATGGGCTCCAGTATCCCGATGGAACAAATGGCGTATGAACCAATTGTTGGTCACCGACTACCATGGGAATGCATCTCCTTACGATGCTCCATCGCCTTGTGGATCAGACCTTTAGGTCCAAGGCTCGGGATGTGGCCCCCTAAAAAGCCACCTGCTTCGGTTTGGGCACCCGAGCAGTATCATAGCCCTCACACAAATCGAATGATTTATGTGGCGCATATGTATTTGGTGCCTCGTTGTACCAATGTTTATGGGTTTAAATATAAAAAAATAAATAAATATAATAAATTAGTTTATGCTTAGCATAACAATCAGTATGAATAATGAAAGTGACTAAAAATAAGATAAGCAGTAGGCTATTTTAGGTAGGAAATCGGGAAAGATTTTTTAAAAAAAACATGTCAAACCTACTATTTTTACAATCATACTTATGGACTATTTTATGGTATGAAAGTTGCTTTGTTATTTGGATGAGTCGGAGTATACGGATTTTTGGTAACTTATTCTTAAATACATTATTTGTACTTTATTTGAACATAAATACTGGTACAAGAAGGAACCAGATACATATGCACTACAACTTAGAGTTAAAATAAATGCTCCGACAGTTTCACAAATATCTAGGTGAAAAAAACTTTTAAAAATAAAGGCTATGGAGACACTTCTCATTGGTTCTTAGACGAAAGTTACAAATCAACAAATATAAACAGGTTAACAAGAAACTTTGAAACGAAACATTAAGACGAAACTGAAAATTTCAACTTTACAATAAACATTTTTCAGAAAGCCGAACCAAAGAAGAAAAACCATCTTCTTGAATAGTTAAAGCTATAAAAGTTTGGTACATACATAAAACTTACTTCCTTTAATTGTGCTTCCATTGGCTTCTTCTTGTTTTTGTAAATAATCTGAAAATTTCGCATTCAATTCTCTAGTAGCATTAACATCTTGAAACATTCGTTGTAATTTCGCGGTGTATTCAAAACCGCAAGCTTCTTTTAATTTAGAAATCATAGAAGCTTCAGCATCCTCGGATACAGATTGATTATAAACTAAACGGCGAGCCAGTGTTTTACTATAGAATTTTTGAAAGACATCTTTATCTTCAATATAGCGGAACACATTCATCTAAAATGATTAACCAGAACAAATAAGCAAAACTACATAGTGACAGGGAGCGAACAATGAGGAGCGTTAAAAGGGATATCGTGGGTATTTTCACTGCAGATTAGCACAAATTCATATACAAAGAACACTTTATTGAATGATACAATCTAAGAGACATTAAGTACATGCTTTGAAATAATGTAGAAAATATTATCAACACTACTGATAAAATAATTCCAAACCTTAAAAAAAACACTTCGAAGAGATTTTATGGTCATTTCATTTGTAAATAATTTGTACTGATCGACTTTTAAATACAATGGAGATAATTTTATAAACAGAAGAAGAAAGAAGAATTATGTAGTCTGTATCAGTTAGGTGACACGGAAAAATAATTGAAAAAATATTGAAATACTCACTACTTGTCCAAGTGTTTCTTCTAAATCATCTAATTGAATATCTTTCGCACTGAAAAAGGAAGAAAGAAGCACTAAAGAGTTAGAACATAGCCCATATACATACATATATATATGGACTCTTATGAAAGCACTTGGTAATAAAATTGACAAGAAAGTGCGAAATAACATAACCAGATTATCTCTAGTTACTATGATTGGTTTTAATCCTCGATTTGGAGAAACGCAACAAATACTTGTAATCATAACTTGGTTAGAAATCAATCAAATGCATTATACTCCAAAAACGAAGAATTTACACATAACTGACCAATATCTAAAGTCATAAATCTCAATTACCAAACTGAAAGCAGGATAATTGTAATAGCTAACTGTAGTGCGATATGTCCACTGATTTATTGCACCAAAAATCAGTCATCGCAACAAGATAAGGATGTCTGGAGCCTGAGTATATAAAAAAGTTCGAGTTGTTGTACGACTGATAACTTATAACTAATAAAAAGTTTGAAATTCAACTAATTTACCGAATATACGTAATGGTGGCTTAGTGATCACAGCGTTCGGTTTCCATCAACTAATTTCCATATTCAAAATTCATTCACCTATTTCTTTTTGGGTAACCGGGTTGTATCCTTAGCCTTCACATTGAGAATGCGGGCCATACCCAAGTACCTGGCGAATGCCCAACCGTTGTTGCCACCTTGACGTGGTGGTCGGGCTTGCCTATCGTGATGAAGCAACCGAGCTATACTGGCTAGAACAACCGTTCCTCAAGGTCCTACCATGTCAGACAGGTCGGTTTAAGAGCGGTAAGACTAAAAGCAACAAACTCAAGGTCCGAAGGTGAAGTCGTACTGCTGACTGTACAGAAGTGTGACAGCAGTAAGGTGTTTTCTTCAGACAACCAGCATGACAGAGATGCTGCCTTCCCACGAGGAAGGATGGGGTTAGAAAAGGTCGACCCTGAAAATGCACACCTCGCCTTATCCCACGGATATCCGTCTCCAGTGGTAGGGTCTCAACAAGTACGGAGCTAACACAAAAATTACTCAAAAATTACCCATAAAAAGGTCGTGTGTGGCCGACTTCATGCAGTTGTCGCTTGGGCACTGTGGTCACACTATCAGGACACTAAGACCACCTTTAATCCAATTTCCTCTCCAGGTACCTCCAGAAGAACCCTTCCTCGGTGTGGGCAACCGGGAAGTGAGAACTGCCCTCATACCTCTAACAGCACTCAAGATATGGTGAATGAGTTAGTAGATTAATATTTTGTTTACATGGTATTATATTCCGTTTTACGTCACATCAACTATAAGAAACCTTGTGATACTATCTGGTTGCTCAACACGAAATAAGTAGAGCGTAGTTTGAACTTGTTACCTGTTAGTTAAAAGTCAAGTGCTTTAATATATATATATATATATATATATATATATATATATATATATATATATATATATAATACAAAATGGTTTCTGGTGTTCTGAACTTTACGACTGAACAATTAAACCAACTAAATCCTCATATTATTCATTAAGTTAAGTGCTGATCAAGCAATTATAGAGTTTGACAGAATCAGTGAAACACATTGAACCCAAGCTGAACGGAAAAGGATAAATTCGGGAGATACTGCCGTACTCTGGACATGAAGAAGAAAATATCTCGCACTCAGGAAGTTGCTCTAATGTTGTCCAAAGAGGATGGCAGTATCACAGCCCACACACAAATCAAGTGACATGTGTGGCGCATATGTATTCAGACAATAGAACACACCGCATCAGGTATCGGAAGCAAATACCAAAAGGACAAATAACAACTGGAAAGGATTGTCCAGGATAAAGTTGGATGGAGAGTGCTGCTAGACGGCCTATACCCTTCCACAAGGAGTAACAGGTGTAAATGATTGCACTTTTTTAGCTAACCAAAAAAGGAGACCAATATACGTAACAAATCTTGTGATTATAAATATCAATACCGAGCTACAAAATACAATTCAGTAGTAATATTTAAAAAATGATCATGAACACAATACAACCAAAGCTTGAAAATTTATGAGATATTATTCAAAACATTATTAATTCATAATAATAAACTAACCTTTTCTTTAATAAGAAATCTGCATATTTAGCTAAAAGTTCAGGGGATTTTCTTTGATTTCCAGCTAATTCAGTGACAGCATTACGATTTATAAAACGTTCACATCCTTTATCTAAGGCACGTGAAAATGCAGGATCCCAAGCGAAGGCGGATAATACAAGATTATAATGTTTTTGATGAACTTTTAATATTGTATCAATATACAATTTGGGATCCTGAAAATTCAAATAAACCCGAAGTAAAATTGAGAAAAATGTATAGCCGTGTAAAGCCTATCAAATGTCTTGATTATGATGGTATAAGGTTTCTGATCCAAAATGCTTTTAACACTAGTGATCAATAATAATAAACAAGGAAACTGAAGCTTTTATTTCATAGTATTAACGGACAATTAATTTTTTTGTTTGATCGATGCATAAGTCCATTTCCATCAATAAAAAAAGCTTAAGAGAAATCTTTTCACTGATTGTCAATGTGTGGTAAAAAGATATGAAAAGCAAAAGAAAGTGAATAAACATCAACTCACATTTAAAGCAGCTTCAGCCACTTGACGGATAGCTTCCCATCCTTTATCAGCAACATGATCTTCCATGACAGAGACAAGAACACGTATTCCACTAGGAAAATGACCAACTAGACGATACATTCGCCATATATCTAAATATTACAATAAAATTTCATAATATCATAAATTAAATATGAGTGCAGAGATGGGATATTAAAAAAACACAGGTAACTGATAAGGGAAAAATATGTGGGGATGAAACTTTTCCTAATTATGAATGAGGGGATCTTTGGAACAGTAATAAACTATCAGAATCTCATAGATATATGCTAACAATTTACAGCTAACTTTACAAATATATATAGTTGAGTTACTTAACAATTATACAATAAAATATAGGTATAATATTTGTCCATTAATAGAACCCAACACTTACCATTCATGATTCACGTTGGGATATATCACAAACATTCAAATTATTGGCTTTCTTTACTTATCCTCAAAAAATTTCTATATTCGAAGACAGTTAAAGGTTGTTATCAGCAAAGGTAAACATCTATCAAAAGACCGTCGAGTAACAGTTACACTGAATCTTTTTCTCTAAGCATAACTAGAAAACTACCATAAAATTAAGCAACAGCTGTACACACGGAAAAGTCTCTGAATCTCAAGAGGATAACCAGCTTTTTTAAATGTACCAATATCCCGGGTTAATGAGTCACAATAAGCTAGTCAATTATGTATACGGGACTTTTTTTAAATCGTCTTCAACCATATAACATTAATCAAAGTGCATCTTCCACCCGAGTGTCGAATCGGTGTATTTCCAAACTGACAAACAGACACCTATCTAAATGCTAAATAATATTTTCATTCTATCTTAACAATTATCTGTTGGTTTAAGGAGTTGAATTATTCTAAAAATTTCAGAACATTTAAATAATGAAATGTACAACATTGCATAACCAAAATGAGTCTAATTATTATTAGTTTAAAAACAGTCATATGAGATTTTTTTCCAATCTCTAGGAAACCGTAGTGCATAAGTGTGGGATTTTTAAATTCACTTTAAATTTCAAACAAGTGTACGCGAAAAATTCAGTTACTTACTTATGCCTGTTACTTCCAATGGAGCATAGGCCACCGACCAGCATTCTCGAACTCACTCTGTCCTGGGGTCTTCCTTTACAGTTCTGTCCAATTTTTGTTCATTTTTCTCATGTCTGTCTCCATTTCTCGACGTATTGTGTTCTTTGGTCTTCCTCTTTTCCTCCTCTGGCCTTGAGGATTGCGTGTGAGGGCTAGCCTTGTGATGCAGTTGGGTGATTTCCTCAATGTGTGTGTATCCTATCCACTTCCAGTGCTTCTTCCTGATTTATTCCTCCTCTGGGATCTGGTTTGTCCCCTCACACAACAGGTTGTTGCTGATAGTGTCTGGTCAACGGATTTGAATTATTTTGCGTAGGCAACAATTAATAAACACTTGTATCTTGTGGATGATGGCTTTCGTCGTTCTCCATGTTTCCACCCTATACAGTAGAACTGTTCTGACATTTGCATTGAAAATACTGACCTTGGTGTTGGTTGAAAACTGTTTTGAGTACCAGATGTTCTTCAGTTGTAAATATGCTGCTCTTGCTTTGCCGATCCGCGCCTTCACATCTGCATCAAATCCACTGTGCTCATCAATGATGCTGCCCAGATATGTTAAACTTTTTACATCTTCCAAATCTTCTCCGTCAATTGTGATTCGATTGTTGCATGCTGTGTTGTATCGGATATAAATTCATTTAGGGGAGTTTTAAATAACCTTATCTTATTATTAGTCTGAAGAATTAAGTCTCAGACACTGTCTTTTATGTTCAGTTATGAATACATGCACAAAAATATGCACATAAATGTAGGTGAATTGTTAACGTTCTTGTGATATTCAATTAAATAATAAACTAATCAATAAAACAAATTTTTTTTAAACTCACCTTCCTCTCTATCTTCATTGAAAAGATCTGAGAAGACAGATGTTAAACGATCTATATGTTCACCAATTAGATAATGTTCACAAGATCTAATTAATTTGGGAAGTGTACTTATATGTAGATAAGTTTGAACACGAATACGTTCTTCATTTAATCGTGTTTCCACCTATAAATGAATGTAATTTCTAAACTAAATTATAAATAGTAAAAGATTTAGCACAATTTAAGCATAAATACAAAATACTAAATATTCAATAATTATCCAATGGTAGAGGTGACTATAAGCAATATTAATCTTAAATGGCTATCGTTGAGAAAGTATGATGACGTTTAGTTTCATGATTCATGAGATTAAACACAGCTATAAGACATGTTGCACAAGGTTTTTATCTTGACAAGAAAATTAGTTGGTCAGTGGAATTAATAAAACCAGCAATTGTAGTGATCCATAAAAAAAAGTTATACTGTTATATTAACCTAGTTATCTCAACGGTAAAGTATTTTTCTAAGATAATTAACAATTTGATGTGGGTAGTGTGGAACTGACACTTGACCGCATATTCTCAACAGCATACACATCCTTTCAGATTAACAAAACTTACTTCATTCTCATAGTTTCGTCTGTTTAACTAGGTTCTCTTGACTTAATTCATATCTAATTGTTTAAAAAATGATGCAAATCTGTACATAACATTTTCCAGAAATGTGTTTTAAAACACAGTCTTTGTGCACTGTTTAACAAAAAGGACTTCTTATATTTAGTTGCCCACTAATGTTAATGTTATTTCTTACTACTTTGCTTTTTCACTAGCTGAATGTCGGAATGAACATCTGTAAACATCTACGTAACGAGACTAATAGACATGCCAATATCAGTCAATAATTCAAGTAATCATTGGTTTAAACCCGGACAATGTGAAAGATTAGTCTTACCACAAGCTACCAAACAATATGCAAGGTCAAACAACAATCACTACAGTAACGCAGATTCAGGTATACTAAATCAACTACAATTATCTTGAAGGATAATTTGGACTTCTAATCCACTTAATTATTAACATTGGTTATCCCCTACAACTATATTTGTAAAGAATTATTTTTAATAGCAAGAGGTTCAGGCACTGTTGTGGCACCTACCACTATTTTTACGAAGTTTAAGAAATAAATCGTTTGGCTATAAAATATCGCCGAAGTGAATGGTTGGAAGTTAGCCGATTGTCTTGTAGTACTTACTTAGACCAAACATGTATGCAGGTCGAAACAAGTGTCTGCAACTAATAATGATGCAGAGCTAGCTTGATGCGATACCTACTTAGAAATAAGTTGACCACTTCATTTATTCACATAAAGTTATGTGACCATTAAAGTCAGGAAATATGGAGAAGATTAGTCTGCCACTAAAATCTTTATTTTATTTAAGTCTTTATTTTATTCAGAATGTAAATATACTGACTAGAAATGAATATATAATTTATCATAATATCGTATGTAAATACACATATGACTTGCTTTTTGAAGGTATTCGGGTACTGTGTTTGACTGCAAAAACTGAGCACTTTCTAATCGGTAATACCGTTCAGTTTCAGTCAAAAATGGTCGTTCAAAGTATTCCTGATAAACTGATAGATTGGTTCGCGTGTCCGATGTCAATGATGATGTCGCACTAGGAGTATTGGGAGTCGATTCATCCACTGGATCTCCGGAATGAAGTGGACCTCGGAAATTTGGAGTGGTTTTATTTGATGTGCCCTGCAAGCTGGATTCCTAACAAAAAAAACCAAAGTATTTCAAAATACGTTAACTTAAGGGGAAATATATATATGATAAGACATAACTTGGATAACTAAACACTTCCAACAATAAGAATTATGATGAATCACTACACCGTTAACGAACAAATTATTAGTCCAATTAATATAGTTGAACTTATAAACACTGTACCATAGTTGATAGATATAAAATCTAAATTTATGTTCTTATCATACACAATTATCCGTGTAAATAAATGGAGTAAGTAATATTAATCTTTTCAATACACCTCGATCAGAACACTAAGGACAAGATATGATGTTATTTGCTTCCCAGCGACATTAGTATGAGCATTAAGATATTTTTTCTTCGAATAATCAATTGTTTACTCATATGTACAAATACAACCATCATTCTTGATATTTACAAGCCATGATGCTATTGCTTAGCATGTACCACTCCATATTTTACTGTGAACAAAAGTTACCTAGTAAGCAATGAATGATGCAGAAAAAATTTCACTAAGAATTTATGCTACATAAAAGATTCAAAGGACTCACGCAGAGTGGATCGATTTCTGATTATTTTTTTCATATACGAACTAACAGATAAAAGTAGGTAATAAAGTATCATGAGGTAGAGACATGTCAACCTTATATATTCCTTGAAAAATTTCGTGAGATCATTTGAATATATAAGGTTGACATGCCTGTCATTTGAAACTAACCTAAGAAATGTCACTAACACCAAAGAGAACATCAACAGATGGTTATGTGAAATATTAGCTTAACCACAGTTGTAAAAACCTCACTTGAGAACCCACAGTGCTGTCTCCTACGTGTTCACTATGAAAGCTGAGAACTATTTTATTTATCGTCCTATATATTTTATCCCTTGAAATCTCATTAAGTTAGTCTGAAATAGTAAAACCTAAGGAAACCTATCACTATAATCTAGTAATCTAGTGCCCCCAAATGCCCTGGTATGGCCGAGAGTGGGGAGAGTCCGCTCTCCCTCTCGAAATGCTCTCACACGGCCACGCGTATACAGCCTCTGCCAGGGAAGTCCTACTCACTGCCTTCTCGTGGCGGGGGTGTTGTTTACGAAAATGAGAGGACGAAAAGCGAATGTCCGGCGCTTTAACCGGATTCAAAACCAATGGTGCACATGGGCTCCAGTATCCTACAGGAACAAATGGCGTGTGAACCAATTGCTGGTCACCGGCTTCCATGGGACTGCATCTCCTTACGATGCTCCACTGCCTTGTGGATCAGACCATTAGGTCAAAGGCTCGGGGAGTGGCCCCTTAAGAAAACCACCTGCTTCGGTCTGGGCACCCGGGCAGTATCATAGCCCTCACATATATCGAATGAGATTTGTGTGACGCACATGTATTTGGTGCCTCTTTGTACCATTATCTATGTGCTGAAATAAAAACAAAAAAGTAATCTAGTACTCGATAGTGACACCACTGACTGTGTGACAAAATATAGATTGACAAACATAGTCTCCATCTAAAACGTTAGATAAGTAAATAACTAGATAGTTCGATGCTAACTTGTTTACAATAAACTGAGAGACGAGCGATGATGAGTAGATAGGTAGGGTTATGAGAATTGAACATTAATATGCAAACAGTAACTCAAAGTACTTACCACTTCAGACTTATTTGGTTTTAAAGTAGAACCACTAGGTTTAGGGGGAAAATTAGGAGATTTAAAAGGTTTCATTAGATATGGCAAGGGTTCACTAGGTGATGAAGCAGTTCCAGTTAACGTAGATGTTGAGAAAGACTGTTGGTCAGACGTAATACCCAACTCAACCAGGCACTCAATAATCTTTCTTAGTCGTAAGGTAGATAAAATTTCTCCACGTCGTTCACGTTCGATCTCACGAAGAATTGCGCTGATTAAAACCCTAGCGTGAGGTTTTAGTAAATGTTCGCGCCATGTTATCAGTGCAAGCTACAATAAACAGAAGTTTGCGAAATATTTGTTTGTTACGTCTTTAATACTAAATATGCAGAAAGTGATGAAATACATTTGTTCTTTAGAAAATCGAACGGTCATTTAAGTCTTCATATGAAAGCTCAATGTTTACCTCTTCAGAGCTGACAACTAATTTTTTCCAAAAAACACGAAAATGTATGATTACGAGGTCTTTAAACGACAAAGACATGAAATGTCAATTAAGCAGAAAAATAAACCAAAAAAATGAATTTCCAAACAAGCTTTTTTATGAACAGCAAGTCGATAAGTATGTTGGCTGAATAGGAACAGTTGTCAATAAAGCAAAGCTAATTCATGAACGGTGTACCAAACAGTAGACCAGTAAACTGAGTGTTTCAACACTATGAAATAGGTTGATAGTCGCCCCTATCAATAAAAAGGGTTTACGTCACCTATGCAAAAGCTATCGCGGGATAAGTTTACTTCCAATTGCGCTCAAATTACTACCGACATACTTCGCAGATGGTCCAAAACTCCTGAAAGATTGACTTGTGAGGATCAGACTGGTTTTCGTTCTGATCGAAGATGCATTGGTCATATTTTCACCCTTCGCTAAATGTTAGAACACCACCATAGGTATTGCACGGTCAACAATCGTTGCATTTCTTGATATCAGGCCCGCTTCGATTTCTTTAACAGGACTGTTCTCTAGGATTGTCTATTGAAAAAGGGTGTCCTAGAGAGGATTATTAACATCTTGAGGGCCTTATATACAAATACTTCAAACAGAGTAGTGGAATACAACCATCTCTCTTCACTGCTTCATTCAAACACTGGGGTCACGTAGGGTTGCCCATTATCATCATTCCTTTTCAACTTAGCTGCTGACGACGTTCTGGAAACAGCTCATACGGGTCTAGGTAAGTGGTGAGGATTTGTTATCTGGAGAAATGTATTCCGACCTTGAGCATGCGGATGATATCTTATTGTGAGATAATAATCAAACCACGAAACCGGCACTTAGTTGGCAATTAGTGTCCGTAGGTATGGCATGTGCTTTGTACCTTCTAAGTGCAAAGTACTTTTCTCAGCCTGGTAGGGCACTACCTGCATTTACTCTTGGTGATGAGCAGATAATAGTCGAGTTCATGTATCTGGGTAGTTGTATAGGTGCTGGTGATGGCGTGACTGGTAATATTAAATCACAGTGAAAAACAGCGGTTTATACCAATTCGGGCCATCTTTGATGCCTTCGTGATGCCACCCTAGCTGGTAAAGGTTGGATCTACAGCGCGTCAGTGAGAGCAATTTTGTCCAATACTTGTGAAACCTAGCCTGTTCAAGTTGAGGATGTTAAGAGACTCATGCATTATTTACCGAGTCTGGGATTGACTGGAAAGAGTGGATAGGTATTCAGCTTATGACGTGGCTCTGTGCTATAGAAAAAAACTGCACAGGACTGGCATCTGTTAGTCCTGTACAATTCCCTGAGTAGCTTGAGGTGTTACCCGACATGGCTCAGAATACAAGCCAGTGGGGATCCTATTGTAGCTTTCTTTTACTTTCTTCATATAAATAAGAGGAACATTCCATCCTGATTGTATTTTCCTTAGATGAACTGCTTTCACTATAGCTACTATTATTATCATTCTTAATGTTATTTACTGTTATAAATTAATTCATTCGTCTTTTTATTACTATTATTATACTTACCTTTTCTATGTCTCTTAACAATCTCACTTTTATTGTCACGCATATATATTTTGGTATCCTTTGTATCAATGTTTATACGCCTAAATAAATACCAAATAAATAAATACTGAACTACGACAGAACTCAGGTATCTAGTTCAGGAACGAATGACCGTTCAACACAGTCAAGACTCTAAAATAAACAGGTTGACTTGACTATAAAGTCTACTATATGACAATTTTACTGTAATATGACAATCAAATGGTGTAACCAACATAACTGATCGACATCGCTTTCAGCCATCCAGCTGGCATGATAGCATTACCCATCTAACCAAGGCGCATCAGATGTAGCGGAGCCCGAACTTGCAGTCTCAGTCAAAAACCGAATATCCTAAAGAGCAAGTTGTCTCCCCATGTATACACATAAGATTTTTAACCGAAAAACCTCTCACACAGTAAATACGCATACTTAGGTGGCCAATAAATTAGTCGTCACCGACGTGTAATCGGTTATAAATGTCACCCACTTTGATAACAGTATATATAAGTTACTAAGATCAATGTTGGCTAGTGTTGGAGACGGTTGGAAGAAAGTTAGGGGCGACAAAACCAAAACGTGGCATCAGTGCTTGAAGTCACTAATTTCTGGTCTGAGCCATGTTGATAGATGCAGACTACTTGGTTGGAGACTGTGTGACATGACTCAGAATCCATCACAATGGCATAGGTGTATACACTCTGTCTTCCCTTAAACCGTGTGATTAGAATTGCTTTTATCTTTCTTTCTACGAACGAATTCTTTCTTCCTGTACTATATCCTTATATGCAATCTTTCTTTTATATATTATTATCATTGAAGAGACTACCTCTATGAATTTGGTGTTCATCTTGTTGTGCTAATGAGGTATGGCAAATTGGACCGATGCACATATGTACGTGGTCCTACATTGTAATTGACTGGATGACTACTTAGGCCAAATAATAGCAAAGCATCCACTATATACTAAATGTCATTCAGATGAACACAAATTTTTTGAGACCATCATTCCAAAAAGGTCATAATTATTGAGCAGGAGACTGAGTAAGAACCATACAGAGATAGAAATGCACAGACTACCATTATACGTTTTAGTGGAGAACTTAACCATATGAAACAGTATGCGTGGTAGAGATAGCACTAACAAAGTCTGGAAACACCCTGCGGAAGCATCTAAATGACATTTGGATAGGGTAACATCCTAAACACTAATAATCTCATTACTAAACAAACCTGTAAAATCACTAGGACCAGGCAAAATACACCAAAGGTTACTAAAGGGATCATAATTTTTAACCTGTCTGTAACAAAAACACTTGGTAGGAAACCTTATACCTGAAATAAATATTTGGCACGATCTCGAAAATTAGTCAGTCGGCCACTCAGCTACAAAATAGGACCAAGCACATATGTGCATCGGTCCAATTTGCCATACCTCATTAGCACAACAAGATGAACACCAAATTCATAGAGGTAGTCTCTTCAATGATAATAATATATAAAAGAAAGATTGCATATAAGGATATAGTACAGGAAGAAAGAATTCGTTCGTAGAAAGAAAGATAAAAGCAATTCTAATCACACGGTTTAAGGGAAGACAGAGTGTATACACCTATGCCATTGTGATGGATTCTGAGTCATGTCACACAGTCTCCAACCAAGTAGTCTGCATCTATCAACATGGCTCAGACCAGAAATTAGTGACTTCAAGCACTGATGCCACGTTTTGGTTTTGTCGCCCCTAACTTTCTTCCAACCGTCTCCAACACTAGCCAACATTGATCTTAGTAACTTATATATACTGTTATCAAAGTGGGTGACATTTATAAACTAAAGAGGGAAACGAATTACGATTGCAGGAGTTCATACTGGAATGAGTGGATGATGGAATGACATGATACACAACAAATACTGATTATAACATCTAAGTGAACTACGATACATGAAAGCCACCAAGGTTGGATGAATAGATAACCACAAGTAGAGGATTACCGACTGTTCTGAGTGCATATAATATCAAGAAAAACCGTGAAATCTTTTATGATGCACTTAGTACTACAACTTCAAATACTTCACTACAATAAAAAGAATAACGTACTGTATAAACGACATAAACATTCTTTCGTCCCTCTTCACATTCTCGTTTAACCCAATGTCTATTCAAGTAATTACAAACCCCATCCAGAACTCTGGATGCAAAACGGAATTCTGTCCAAGCCTTTTCGAAATATGAAAGAGTTTCTTCATCGACTAGATTATTTCCTTTCTGTAAAGAAGAAATGACTGGAAAATATTGTAATTTACTAGCTTCAAGGAGTGGACATGAGCCTTTAAATAATTGCGCAACTTTTTGTACAGTTCAAAACCTACTAATTTCCCCCCAGGTTCAGTTTCTATAGCATTCCTACTGGGGGTTGCATGAGATTTCGGGTCGACTGATGTACAGTAATTGTAAACATGAGTATGAAGCTCCATGTATCTTTTTCTTTTGATTGTCTCCAGCCTGAATATAGCGTCGAAACCACTTTTTAGGTCATCCCAAACCAATGCCAAATTCCCAGCAGAAGCAGACATATTTAACAAATGGGAGGATTAATTTACATAGGGAAGCAAGTATGCGAACAGCCGCGCATTAGTACAACCGTCCAATAAAATCCAATAAACAATTACTTTTTAGATTTGTTGGACATAAAAATTCATATTCATTATTGTTGTGTTCTACTCCTTAAAACATGGAATGGCTGATTTATTTGAACTAATTGCTTGATGTTGAAGTTCTAGGGAATCCCATTTCATTTACCATTTACCTTGATTTTTCAAAAGCTTTTGATAAGGTTAACCACTTGTGTCTTATCAACAAGCTCAAACGACTAGGTATCAAACCACCTCTAATCGACTGGCTTACTTCATACCTAAAAAATCGACACTTTAAGGTTGGGGTTAATTTCACTTTATCTCAAGCTATGGAATGTCCTAGTGGGGTCCCCCAGGGCTCAGTACTAGGGCCTCTTCTCTTCTTGATCTACATAAATGATCTTCCTCAACAGGTAACGTCAGATTTATTGCTTTTTGCCGACGACGTGAAACTTTGGAGAGAGATACGCAACCAAGACGATATACAGGCACTTCAAGAGGATCTGACTCGACTTCAAAGTTGGGCAGACGATAACGGACTTACCTTTAACACTTCAAAGTGTAAAGTAGTCCATCTGCGACATGTCGCAAACTACAGTTACAACTTAGGAAACTCCTCTCTAGTAGTATCCCAAGTCGAAAAATATTTAGGAGTCCTGGTGCCCCATGACTTAAAGTCTTACGCTAACTGTGACAAAAATGCCTTCCGAGCAAACCTTGCACTGGTAACGTTGAGGCGCATTTTTGGCCAGTTTGACGGAAGAACTTTCCACACAATCTTCAATAGTTTCATCCGTCCCCATTTAGAGAACGGAAACATAGTACTCCCCCCCTCACTCCAAAAGGACAAGGCCACTTTGGAGCGTATCCAACGGCGAGCCACGAAATCAGTTCGAGGACTCAAATCTAAGCCTTACGAAGAACGCCTCCGTTCACTAGACCTTTACCCACTAGAATATAGGCGTCTTAGAGGTGATTTATTAATGGCTTATAGTATTCTTAACACTTCTGGACATCCTCTTAAACACCTACTTAAGCTTAGTTCGAATAATAACCTAAGGGGTAACACCCAGAAACTGGAAATACAACATAGCAAGACGGAATGTAGACACAACTTCTACTCCTTAAGAGTTGTCAAAAGCTGGAACTCGCTGCCGGCCGAGCTAGTCCAAGCGACTTCTCAGGAGTCCTTCAAGAGGCAACTTGACCTATTCTTAAGAACCAAGGACAGCATCACACTATGATTTACCAATTTCTTTTCCTCTTTTATTGTTAACATACCTAGGTTCCTGCCTGGAGGATTTGGTGATCCCCTGCTACTAGACACGGAAGCCTGTTAAGCGAAAGCTTCTTCTATTCCGTCCACAACCATTTGAACCATTTGAACCTCATGAATAAGATTTTTACGATCCTTACGAAATCTTAAAACGCTCGATTCTTAAACGAAGAGACCTAACCGATCGACAAAGGTTAGATCAACACTTCAATAACATCGACCTGCAACACGGTTCTGCGACGGACATGTTGCAACGGATGAGAGAGGTTATAGGCCCAAGAACTTTCGACGAAGGTCTATTCAAACAACTCTTCTTGTCAAAACTTCCCCAACAGGTGCAAGCAGTTCTGGTCCCGTTCCAGGACAACGCCTTAGACGAGCTAGCTGCATCTGCCGACCGCATTTTAGAAATTACGAAACCTTCTACTACCGAGGTATTTTCAGTCAAAGAAAAACCTCAAACGACTCAGGATGATATAACCGAGTTATGTCACACACTCACGCGTTATCTTAGTCTTCGTACCGACCGTAAGAGATCACGCACCCCACGTAGAAGCATTTCACGTAAGCGATCTGTCTCTAGACCACGAGAGATAGATAACCCCGACTGGTGCTGGTATCATAACCAGTATGGAAAGTTTTCCAGAAATTGCAGAAAACCCTGAAATTTTCCCAACACGAAACCGACTGATTCGAAAAACAACTCGGGAAACTTCTAAGCCGGCACGCGTTAACGGCAACCGTAGCCGGCGAACAAAGCCGTCTGTTATTCGTCACAGATGTGACAACGAGAGTTCGCTACCTCGTCGACATTGGCGCAGAAGTTAGAGTTCTCCCAGCAAATCCTAACGACCGATTTCACGAATCGACCCTAAACTTACAGGCGGCAAACGGAAAACCGATCGCTACGTATGGCAAAAGGTACGTTTACCTTAACGTGGGTTTACGCAAACCCATTCACTGGATTTTCGTTGTTGCAGATGTTTCTATGCCAATCATTGGTATGGACCTTCTACAACACCACGATCTGATCATCGACACGCGCAAACGGAGGCCAGTAGACGGAAAAACTAATTTGTCCGTTTGCGTAACTTCCTTTACTGGTTGCAAATTATCCCCAGTCACAATTAAACATATGATAGACCCACTCCATCAGCCACTACTTGATAAGTACCCTGGAATACAACAAACTCAAACGAAACTACCGTGTGTAACCAGCAATGTTACACATCACATCACGACTACAGGACCACCTGTATTTTCTAAAGCACGACGACTAGCTCCCGAAAAGCTAAGGTTAGCAAAAAACGAGTTCGACCATATGATAAACTTAGGAATCATACGACCGTCAAGTAGCCCATATGCATCTCCGTTGCACGTAGTCCCTAAAAAGGACAGCAACGATTGGCGTCCAACTGGTGACTATCGGCGATTGAACGCGAAAACCATTCCCGATCGTTACCCGTTGCCTCACATTCACGATTTGACAGCTACCTTGAAAGGTACAACTGTCTTTTCGAAAATCGACTTGGTTAAAGCGTATAACCAAATCCCTATGGCTACTGACGACATACCGGAAACAGCTATCATAACTCCCTTCGGACTCTATGAATTTTTGCGAATGCCTTTCGGTCTAAGAAACTCTGCTCAAACATTCCAAAGATTCATAGACGACGTTTTTCGAGGTCTCAACTTCGTACACGCGTATGTTGACGACTGTCTAATCGCAAGTCCGGACAGAGAAACACATCTCAAGCATCTGGATCTTGTTTTCGAACGATTACAAAAACATGGCATTACTGTAAACGTTCAGAAATGCCGATTCGGAACCGACTCATTAGACTTTCTGGGACACACTATCGATGCTCAAGGTATCCGACCCCTTAGAACAAAAGTGGCGGCCATTCTGGATTACCCAGAACCGACCACCGTCAAGCAATTGCGCACGTTCAACGGCCTGGTAAGTTTCTATAGACGTTTCATACCCAAATGCGCATTACTCATGAAACCTCTGACCGACCAACTTCGTGGAAATGCAAAATCCATTAATTTGGACGACACCGCACGAAAAGCATTCTCCACAGTTAAGGAACTGATCGCTAAAGCAACAATGCTCGCACATCAGGACACCCTAGCATCCATTAGTATCGCAGTAGACGCATCCGACTCAGCAATCGGAGGAGCCTTACAACAATTGGTTAACAACTCCTGGCAACCATTGACATCTTTCTCTAGACGGTTGCTAGACACCGAATCGAGGTGCAGCACATTCGGTAGAGAACTCTTAGCTATGTACTGTGCTGTACGGCATTTTCAACAGTACATCGGAGGTCGTGAATTCACTCTTTTCACTGACCATAAACCGCTTACTTTCTCGTTAAGCTCTCCTTCTGACAAGTACTCTCCCCGTGAGTCTCGACAACTGAACTACATTTCGCAGTTTACTCCAGATATTCAACATATTTCTGGAGCAAACAACGTAGTTGCAGACGCTTTGTCTCGCATAACTTCCTTAAACAGTTTCCAACGGATTGACCTTCTGAAACTCGCCGAGCTTCAGAAAGAAGACACTGATCTTCAGCACGAGTTGTCGTCCACAACAATTAAACCACGCTTCAAACAGATGGGAACAGGTAAGGAAACCTCACTTGGTGACACATCTACAGGTAGGGATCGCCCAATCGTGCCGAAACATTATCAACACAATGTCTTCAACACATTGCACAAACTTTCGCATCCAGGTGTTCGTGCAACCATCAAGCTTATAGCAGAACTGTTTTGCTGGCCTGGCATGAATAAAGACGTGAGGGAGTGGGCACGCTACTGTGTAAGCTGCCAAGAATCTAAGGTTATCAGACACAATACATGTTCCTTAGGCTCATTTAAAACTCCCAATGCTCATCTCGACCATGTTCATCTGGATTTGGTAGGACCTTTACCAGATTCAAATGGATACTCTTATCTTTTAAACTGCGTTGACCGTTTCACTCGATGGCCAGAAGCAGTACCTATCAAGGACATCACTGCTGAAACAGTGCCCCATGCCTTCGTCGAACGATGGGTAGCAAACTTTGGCTGCCTTTCAACCATCACTACAGATCGCGGACGTCAGTTTGAATCTGAACTTTTCCGTCGTCTGACCACACTTTTAGGAATCACTCGATTCCGAACGACCGCCTACCACCCACAAGCAAACGGGTTGGTAGAACGCTTTCATCGACAACTGAAAGCTTCACTATCAGCTGCAAACGTTTCACAGTGGACCGATGCTCTTCCACTCGTCTTACTAGGTATTCGCAATGCAGTGAAAGCTGACATTGGATACACTGCGGCTCAACTCGTTTATGGAACGACACTTCGGCTTCCAGGAGAACTCTTGGATCCTTCATCCTCTTCATTGAACATGGATCTAACCTCCTACACGAACAGGCTTACAAACCCAATGCGTTCAGTTAAACCTGCTTCCACTCGACCACAATCAACTGATGTTTTCGTTCAATCTGACTTACGATATAGTACACACGTTTTCGTTCGTCGAGACTCACATCGACGACCATTCGAATCAGCGTACGAAGGACCCTTCAAAGTTCTTCAACGTGAATCTAAGTACTATATAGTCGATAAGAACGGAATAAACGATAACATCAGCATCGATCGCTTAAAA